CCAGGTTCTTTCTGCCAGAGGCTCCAGGTGGGGCCGTTCTCCCCGGCTGCAGTGTAGAGCACATTCTTTACATCTGGTCCTGTTCAAACTGGCCCAAGGGCTACTGCATGGACTATTTCCTGCTTGATTTGTTCAAAGGCTTGTCGTTGCTCAGGGCCCCATTCAAACTCATTCTTCTTACGGGTTACTTGGTAGAGCAGGTTTACAATCAGACTGTAATTTGGGATGTGCATTCTCCAAAACCCCACAACACCTAGGAAAGTCTGTGTTTATTTTTTGCTAGTTGGTGGAGACATAGCTGTTATTTTGTTGATCACATCCATTGGGATTTGACGACGTCCATCTTGCCATTTTATTCCTAAAAACTGGATCTCTCGTGCAGGTCCTTTGACTTTATTTTGTTTTATGGCAAAACTGGCTTTCAGAAGGATTTGGACTATTTTCTTCCCTTTCTGAAAAACTTTCTCTGCTGTGTCACCCCACACAATAATGTTATAAATGGCTCAGGATTCAAATTAGGATTAAATAAAAAAATAGGATTTATTAAAAGAATATATAGGAATAGAGGTAAGCAAACAGCGCTGGGTGCACCGGGAGTCTCCGCTCCACCAGGACGCACACCAGTTACATCAAGCAGCTGATTTTTATGCACCTAGACTAATACATATTCATTACTACTTCTAAAAAAGTAGATTATTATAATTAGCTTCCGGGGTCCAGTTCCTCCTACTGGAGCATGCGCATCAGTCTCCTCTGGGGGTCTCTAGGGTTCTTTCATGCTGAAGGCTCGTAGTCTTCCTCTCACCCTTTGTACTTACTCGGCACTATTCCAAGTTTATGGAACACTCTCTGTACACTCTCCACAGGTCTTGTCTCCCAACCGTCCTTCAGCTTCTTTTTCCTTCCTCTTAATCTCTTGGCCCCCTGGCCAGATACCAAAGATCCACATAGTATCCCATAACAGTCACTAGTTGTTATCAGTTGTTCTGAAACTCCCAGACATCAAACACAAACAGCTTTCTTATTTGACGCTTCACGAGTAATTAAAACATTCTTCCCCAGCCATTCACAGACACATCTATAGCAGTGTTAAGTTAATCTCGAAGAAGACAGGAAAAAAGGCTGTAACTGTTAGAAATAGAAGTCCGGAATAACAAAAGCAAACAGGTTCACAAATTTAAGGAGTGTTTTCTGAAGACGTGATAAATTGACTGGAATGAGGGGGAGACTGGGACACACTGCATCTGTGGTTCAAGAATTAAACTGCCAGTGCAGGGCCCAGAGGCAGACAGGATTCAAACAGAATTGTTCTTTAGGGACACGAATTTATGGACACGAATTTATGGACACGAATTGGAATTGTTAAAACATTCCTCACAATAATGTCATCGATGTACTGCAGGTGTACAGGAGCTTCCCCCTGCTCCAGCGCAGACTGGATCAGCCCATGGCAAATGGTAGGGCTGTGTTTCCACCCCTGGGGCAGCCGATTCCAAGTATATTGGACTCCCCTCCAAGTGAAGGGAAATTGTGGCCTGCACTCTGCTGCTAGAGGGATGGAGAAAAATGCATTAGTGATATCAGTTGTGGCATACCACTTGGCTGCCTTCGACTCAAGTTCGTACTGAAGTTCCAGCATGTCCGGCACTGCAGCACTCAGTGGTGGCGTCACTTCGTTCAGACCACAATAGTCCACTGTTAGTCTCCACTCGCCATTAGACTTGTGCACTGGCCATATGGGACTATTGAAAGGTGAATGAGTCTTGCTGATCACTCCTTGGCTCTCCAATTGACGAATTAGCTTATGGATGGGAATCAGGGAGTCTCGGTTAGTGCGATATTGCCGCCGGTGCACAGTTGTGGTAGCGATTGGCACTTGCTGTTTTTCGACCCTCAGCAACCCCACAACAGAGGGGTCCTCTGAGAGACCAGGCAAGGTAGACAACTGTTTAATGTCCTCTGTCTCTGAGGCAGCTATGCCAAAAGCCCAGCGGAACCCTTTTGGGTCCTTAAAATATCCTCTCTGGAGACAGTCTATGTTCCTCATCCTCTTTCCAGGCCATTATTGCCAATGAGCTGGCATATGATGATGGTGCACTCCATACAAACTTCCGCCACATGGGTTGTGTATGCCTGACTTCATCTGGATCTTTGGATGTTTGTCTGAAGTCTGGATCCTCATAAATCACCTCCCGTACGGCTAATTCCCTCAGGTACTGGATTCCCTTCTCTATAGTGGTCCACTTGCCTGGTAGACATACAAGTTCTTCCTTGAAGGGATACCTTTCTCTCACAGCTGAGAGGAGACGCCTCCAGAGGCTGTGAGATTGTGCTCCATCTGCAATTGCTTTGTCAATGCCTGTGTCTCGAGCAAGGGATCCCAGTCGTCTGGCTTCCCTGCTGTCTAATTCCACACAATTGGCTCCAGTGTCCCAGCACCGGAGCAGCCAGGTGACAAGCTGCTCACCTATACAACGACCAAAATCTTTTCGCACATCTCATAGCTCACGCTGGTACAGGTTTTGGGTAGTTACTGTTGATTTTTCAGCATCCTCATCTTCCTCCTCCTGAATCCCTGATGGCTCAGCATCATCATCTCTATACCTAGACTTAGAAGACTCTTTGCGTTCTAAATGACCTGAATCTCCATACCATTTTTTCACCTTCTGTACAGGGGCAACTCGTTTCTCTGACCCCGCTACAGGGTCTGCCACAGGGGTTGGAATACCCTCTGCAGGGACAACTTGCACTGCTACATCTCATTTCTCTGACCCAGACACAGGAGCTGGAGCAGCTGCAAGAACAGGAGCTGAAGCTGCTGCAGGAGCTGGAGCTGGAGTGGCTGCAGGAGCTGGAACTGGAGTGGCTGCAGGAGCAGGAGCTGGAATGGCTGCAGGAGCTGGAACTGGAGCGGCTGCAGTAGCAGGAGCTAGAGCGGCTGCAGGGTCCATCGTAGGTGTTGGAGTGGCCGTTGGGCCTGTCACAGGACTTGGAGTGGCCACAGGGTCTGTCACTAAATTGATAGTAGTATCAATTGCAGCTCGATAGGCATGAGCCAGGCCCCAGCACGTTACAGTGATTTGTGTCACTTTGGAATTGTCAGAGTCATGACACCCGTTTTTCAAGCATTCTGCCAGTTTTTTAGGATTTTGCTAAATCCTGGATTTTTGTTCAGGGGTGAATTTCCAAAACACTGGAGGTGTCAACTGCTCTAGAAACCTGCCCATATCCTCCCACAGTCCCTGCCACTCACAACTATCCTGCCTCAGGACAGATCTCTGGATGAGATTCCTAAGTAGCTGTTTAACTTTAAGCAGAATCTGAAGCACATTCAGGAGGCATAACAACAAGAACATGCTGGTCTGAGTATCCCAAGGATATTCAACATCTTGGAGAACGATTGTAACTAGCTCGGAGGATAAGAGGGTGGTGAAGGAGAAAGGGAGAGTGAACAAGTAGGAAAAAATATCTTCCCCTTTCCCCTCCACAGACTGGCTCCCTGATGAAAAAAGGCAATAAATGTAATTGTTAATAGTTTCCGAGATATGGTTTCCAAAGTATAGAGTCAATGACAGTGCTGAGTACAAATAGGAAGTTAGAGTCATGACCAGAAATTTCATCGTATCATAAGCCACTGTTACACTGCACAATACTATAATGACCTTAAACCAGGGCCCGGAAAGAATAAACAGCACGACAGGGAGCACATACAGAAAGTAACGTGCTATAATACTCAATTTGGAAAACAGGCGCAGCAGACAAGATTAAAGCAATCAGCATTATGACTAGCAACTATTAAGCAGGTCTAATACTTATACCAATTTTAGTTTAACACACTCTGGTCAGATCTGTCGTTATCTCAACCCTTCGAGCCCCATGTTGGGCGCCAAAAAGGACTGTCGTGGTTTAACCCAACCAGCAGCTAAACACCACACAGCCGTTCGCTCACCCTCCCCCCTCCCTCTCTGGGATGCGGGAGAGAAACGGGAAAGTGAAGCCTGTGAGTTGAGATAAAGACAGTTTATTAAGACAGGAAAATAATAATAACAATAATAATAACAATAATGATGATAATAGTACTACTACTAATAATGTGTACAAAACAAGTGATGCACAGTGCAATTGCTCACCACCCGCTGACCGATGCCCAGCCTAACCCCGAGCAGTCCGGCCCTCCTCCCCCCAGCTAGCCACCCCTATATATTGTTTAGCATGATGTCAGATGGTATGGAATACCCCCTTTGGCTAGTTTGGGTCAGCTGTACTGGGTCTGTCCCCTCCCAGGTCTTGCTGCATCCTCAGCCTGCCCGTTTGCAGGATAGAGTGAGAAGCTGAGATGTCCTTGGCTTAGTGTAAGCACTGCTCTGCAACAATTAAAACATCGGGGTGTTATCAGCACTCCTCTCATCCCAAGCCAAAACACAGCATTGCACCAGCTACTAGGAAGAAAAACAACTCTGTCCTAACTGAAACAGGACACTATTGATCCAGGAATGGCCAATCAATCATCAAGGGATGATAAATCTTGAATTTTATAGGAACACAAAAACATAGGCAGAGGTAATCTCAGATCTGCAGTGGTGGACACTTGTGCAGGGAGCTCCCAGGGCTGGATGGGCTGTCAGCACAGAGGATCCTAAGGTAAGGACTGCCTTCACAGAGCAAAAATACACACATCTTCCCTTTTTCCTCCAAGGGAGTCCTCCCCAAATGTAAGACTTTTTCTCCCTTTGAGTACAACAAACCTTGTGAGGTTTGTCACGTGCCAGGCAAAATCAGGGTGTGTGGCTATCACAGAGTGCAGTAGAAGAGGGGTCCAGGCCTTTCCCCAGCCTGGGCTGACATGGACAGAAATATTTGGAGATCTGTTGGGATAACAACCTTCAGAAATGCACTTAATTTCTTTAGGCTTTAGAGCTTTTTTAACCAGCACTTTAAAGATACCTAGAGTGAAAAAGCACTCTTCACCTGGGAGTGAACACCAGCTTCTGCAGGGCAGAAGGCTGCCAACCCTGACAAACTTGAAATAAAATAATACTTGCAACATTACAGGGTAATGATTTATCAGTAGTGTTCCAGACCATGGTATTACTGATCTCTTGGAGTTGCAAATACCAGAAATGGCTTGGTTCTTTGTCTGAATATTTTTGGGCAAGCACAACCCAGGAGGTGGCTGTTTTTCTCTTAAGAACTTGACAAATAATTTTTAAAAAGCAAAACTAGTAGAAAATGTTCATATTGACTTATACGTGAAGGGGGTTTCAAATCAAAGGGAAGATAATTTTTAATCAGTACTCTAAAGTCCAGGACTGTGTTCATCCAGGGGCTGCACAGAGCCTCAGCTCCAGCAAGGTTACAGCCCAGAGAGTGGAGAGACACAGGCAAATCTATCCTGTTCCTGCCCAATGCAAAACCTAAAAGGCTCCAAATAGAGATAATTTCCTTAAAACATTTGTTCCTCTTTTCCCCAGCTGTGTACGTGTACCTCTTTAGCCACATTCCCATTCCCATTATGGTGGTGCTACCCTTCCCAAGCTGCTGCATCCGTGATGTTTCTTCAAAGGGGGAACCACCAGGGTGCTGCCAAGCAACTTCCAGACCATTGGGATGTGAAAAATTTGTGTTTTAATTGCATCCTTTGTTCTTATTTCTAATAAAAGATGATATTATGAGGCCTGGGGGGCATATTCCTCTTTCTAGGGATTGTTACTGTGCCGTGATAAGAAAAATTCTACATGATGTTGGATATGCGTTCAACAGAAATGTCCTTCAGTGTGAGGAAATATCCTGTCTGCTTTCATAACCTCAGATGGAGAGGAAGACAGCTGAGAGCTCTTCACTTAAGCATGGCTTCCTACTCTGCATTCACTCTTCAGTCTTATTTTCAGTAGACTCTCATGAATGACTCCTGGAGACAAGGAAGAAAAGGGAATTTTCAAGAAAGTGTGCAGGAGGCAGGGGTACAAAAACAATTATTTATTAATAGGTTTTGTCCACACACCTCCTGTGCATCATTTGGAACATTTACCCTGTAGGCAGAGAAGAGCAATCAGGTGAGAAATTTGGGTTTGCATCTTGCCAGACAAGCTTGACAACTTCACACTGAACTTCATTTCTCCATCTCTGTCCTTGTAAAACAAGAGTGTGTTTAATTTAAACAAAATGCCTCATATGAGACTTTTTCCCCTTTAAATGTCTTTATACTCCCCAGAATGTATACAAACATATACAAATATTACTAATTTACAAATGTACAGATATTACTAAAATGGTGTTGCTTTTGCACTGAAATAAAGCTATCCACTGAGTATGAATAGCAGATCAGTGATAATTCTTTAGGAAAAAAAAAGGATAATTGAAAAAATACAGGTAAGTAAAGGCAAATGACATTTTGAATAGATCCTTAAGCATCACTTGCATCTGTAGTGACTTGACTATTTGTCATTAATGCACAGATTTGCTAGTGCTAGTTGAATCACAAGTGTTGGTGGATTTTGTTTCAGCATGAGCTGTAATCTTCAGGATGCCACTAAGGAAGAAGTTTTTTAACTTCTCTTGCATTAAAATCAGGAGGCAGCAGCATCCTTACTACATACAGAGCAAATAACTGGTTAAGAGATTTGTCAGGAGTCAGTTGGCAGGGCTGGGAAAAGTTCCCTCATCATGCATCAATCCAATTATGATTATCTGATCTCTTTGTCAATGCTGACTCGAGTAAGGAAACACATGAGAATGCTGAAATTTCTGGCACTCCTTTGTTATTATACAGGAAAAGATGCTGAAGAAAATTATCCACTGCTGTTTAAGTTTCACACTCAAATGCTGTTCAGTGTGGCTTTGATTTCTGTGGGCTGCTGGAGTAAAGCTGCTTGATATCTCCAGTGGGAACTGTCTTGAGTAAATATTGAGCAAGAATTCAAGACACAAACTTATGAGTACAGTATTGAGAATATCATAGATCAGAAATGACCAGGAAAATAAGATTCTTAATCACCTGACAAGAAAAAGAGCTAATGAAACCAAGCTGGGTACAAATTTCCCCTAATGGACCTTCCCAATTCCCATTCTTGCTATACCATTTCAGCACTTGGTGACAAGTTAATATTGCATGTTCCTCAGAATAAAAAGAGGCTTTGTTTTCTGGTTGTCCATCAGATTGCAAACAATCTTTCAAACATGGATACCAGACAAAAACCTACTGACAGGAGCAGGATGATGAAGATGATGAACTGTGTGACTGAGCTAAGGGTCTGACTTCTTTTCATTTAGGAGAGCAAAACAAGCTGGGGCACTGAAATAACTCACCCTTCATCTCTTCCCAAAACTGCATTTGTCATTAGCATACATGAGCTCTTCACATATAATTTATGCTATGTATAAAATAGGTATTAACAACAGATAAAGCAAGAAGAATTTCATTAACAGTACCAGCCAACTGACTTACCTGACAAGATTTCACTCTATCTCCCTCAGGTGTTGGACATTAAAAGCCAGCAGCAGGCACTGTGAGGAAGACAATTAACAGCAGCAAGGAAGAACTGCAGCCTGCCAGACTTTTATTGAGGTAAGTCATAAAATGCCTTTGTTCACATTTTCCAAGATTCATTGTCAGATTTTTAATTGATGACTGAGCTAAGAGAGAAAATGTCTCTCTGAAGCACCGTGCAAGGCTCCCAATGCCATTGATAATGACCTACTTGCATTTACAAGAAATAAGTTCCAGCATCCTTTTATTGATCCACGGAAAACGCGGGAGCCGTGGAGGGACACGGGAGCTGCGGGAAACGTGTGGCGAGTTGGCACATAGCAGAGGGACGGACATCAGGACCCTGCAGCCTGTCTGACATAACCATGGAGGCAGCAGCGGCTGTGCTGCTTCTCTCTAGCATTCTTTTTATGAGAGGTTTATCTTGCAATGCAAAAAAGACTATTCGTCCCCAGATCGTTGTTATAACTATGCTGTTACATAATTTGATAAATGTACAAATGTTCCTGGATAACATTCTGTGGGGTTGCCATGTTGTACGGATTACTAATGACGGTTTAGCTCTATTACTACCTTTATTGCAGGGCAGGAGTGCAGAGCCGCGGATCACACTACCAAATGAACACGGGCAGGCTCTTTCACAAATAGCTTCTAAGGTTGCAGCCGGCACTGCCTGCAGCCGTATAGCAGACGTTGCACTCTCTTTCCTAATTAGCAATCATGTGTCTCATCCATTTGCGGTGACTGGTCAATGGCAAAAGAAAAGGGGGAGAGTAAGGGGGTGACAAAGACAGAAACGGTATCAGGAGGATGCCACTGACACTAACAGCACGGGTAATAGGAGTAGTATGTGACACAGGTGACAGTGCGGGGCGGCGGCGGGCGCTGCTGCGCTGCGGGGCGCTTTGCCTGCTGTTCGTCCTCACCTGCCTGTGCACTGCTGCCGACTGTGCTAGAGCAAAACGTGAAGAATCCCAGTTCCCGTGTAGTAATGGTGAACACTGTATTCCTTTACTCTGGAAATGCGATGGTGATGAAGACTGCTCAGATGGCAGTGATGAGAGTGCTTGTGTGAAGAAGACGTGCTGAATCTGACTTTGTGTGCAACAGTGGTCAGTGGGTGCCAAACAGATGGCAGTGTGATGGGGATCCGGACTGTGAAGATGGGTCTGACGAGAGTGCTGAGCTGTGTCATATGAGAACGTGCCGGGTAAATGAAATCAGCTGTGGTCCTCAGTCAACCCAGTGTATCCCAGTGTCATGGAAATGTGATGGTGAAAAAGACTGTGACAGTGGAGAAGATGAAGAGAATTGTGGCAATGTGACTTGTAGTGCAGCAGAGTTCACATGCAGTAGTGGGCAATGTATTTCCAAAAGCTTTGTCTGCAATGGTCAAGATGACTGCAGTGATGGTAGCGATGAGCTGGAGTGTGCACCTCCTACCTGTGGTGTTCATGAGTTCCAGTGCAAGGGTTCTGCCTGCATCCCTATCAGCTGGGTGTGTGATGATGATGCTGACTGCTCCGACCACTCGGATGAATCTTTGGAGCAGTGTGGCCGCCAGCCTGCACCTCCTGTGAAGTGTTCTGTGAGTGAGGTGCAGTGCGGCTCAGGTGAATGTATCCACAAGAAGTGGCGATGTGACGGAGATCCTGATTGCAAGGGTGGAAGTGATGAAATTAACTGCCCTTCTCGGACCTGCAGGCCAGACCAGTTCAGATGTGAAGATGGGAACTGTGTCCATGGGAGTAGGCAGTGCAGTGGTGTGAGAGACTGTCTAGATGGCACTGATGCAGCAAACTGTAACAATGTTATTCAGTGCTCTGGACCTTGCAAATTCAAGTGCAGAAGTGGAGAATGCATAGATATCAATAAAGTGTGTAACCAGCAGAGAGACTGCAAGGACTGGGGTGATGAGCCCCTGAAGGAATGCAACATAAATGAATGTGACTGTCCAGCTGGGTTTGAGCTTGTAGACAAGAGAACCTGTGGAGATATTGATGAATGCCAAAACCCTGGTATCTGTAGTCAAATCTGTATCAACCTGAAAGGTGGCTACAAATGTAAACGTAGCCGTGGCTATCAGATGAATCCTGCTACAGGAACCTGGATAGGGCCATACGGGTACAGAAATACAAATAACACCTGTGATTGCAATGACATTGCTAAGTAGGGTTTAGGGCACGGAGACAAGGGGTAACAACTATAGTGTTTGGAACAATTGTACAGCTTTGGCCTTACCTTCTGATGTTTTTCTGATTTGCGGGGATAGGGCCTGGCAAGGTATCCATGCAAATGCTATCAGATGTCCATGTTACTTAGATAAACTCATTGTATTTGCTCCTAGCTTGTCACAGTTGCGTGAGATCACCAGACATAAATGGGCATTGCTCGCACCGGATTGCAATGCTAATGTTGAATTGTGTGGGGTTGCAGCTAGAGAGGCATTGCCAATTTTAGTGCCTGGAGTGGCATCTGCGGCTGCACTTAACAACTTAGAAAAATTGGTATGCTGGGCCGAGAAGCAAGCCCATGCCACGACAGAGATACTTGAGGAGATGTTACCAGATCAAAATAGTCTGCGACATGTGCTTTTACAGGACCAAGCTGCTATTGACATCTTGCTCTTGGCTCAAAGGCATGGGTGTGAGGACTTTGAGGGAATGTGCTATTTAAACCTTTTTGATCATAATGAGTCAATTCACAAATCCATTACTTTCCTGAAAGAGCACATGAGAAAGATTCAATATGATATCAATCCTTTCAATCAATGGCTCACTGATTTGTTTGGGACGATGCATAGATGGTTACTGGGATTAATCAAAGAGGGATTAAGGATTCTGTTTGTTGTGGTGTCAATCATCATTGCGTGTTGTATTGTAATAAATGTGGTTAAAGGGTTACTTGCAAAAATGTTACATTGGGCTTGGTTTTCTCAAACAAACAAAAAAATAAAAAGGGGGGGAATTGTTGAGGGATTTTTTGAAACAGCAAAAATCCCATGGCTTGCTGCAGCTGAGCAAACGAAGCTACTAGGGCAACTATGAGAAGTTCCCATGACAGTGTTCCCACATCACCCAGTTGAGGAATTTAGAAAAACATTGTTACCATCCTCTGGCTTCAAGGACAAGGTCTATGTGACTGCTAATCACAAGGGGGTTGTTTTCTTGTAGTTGTTTGTCTGAGTGCTTTTGACCAATAATCTTGTGTGAGACACTATCCGCCCCTGTTAAGTTCACTATAAAAGTTAGGCTATTCGGGCAATAAAACGGAGCATGATCTGACTCTACTGGTGTCTGTCGTGCTTTTGGCCGTGCTTCCTGCAACAGGCACTAAAATCTGTTTCTCTCTTGGCCTCACTAATAAAATGAACTTGGACCCAAGACTAGGTAAAAAAAGTTTATAGCAAATTTCCTTAGTATCTGATTTTGAAAAGAGCAGTTAATAGGAATTTCAGATGCTGAGCCCTGCTAAAATCAGGTCTCCTTGTGGAGATATCTAGCCAGAACTTCTCAAAATTTGGCCAGTTATCCAGGTTCTAGAGGGAAGCTATTAAAATACTTTTTAAAAATGTAGCCCAGTAAGTAAGTACTGTTGGGGGTGTGTGCTTGGTGACAGTATTATAAAGACTTCATCAGTAAATTGCAACATAACAAGAAAAATGATGGCCCTTTAATTTTTGATCTAATCATCAGCTTTTATTTACATGATCTCCTAGTTAGCTCCACTGTATTGAAGCTGACAGACCATCCAAGTTACTTTAGTCCCAAATTACTGAAATGAAGCAAGCATCTCTGATGAATGATGTGTATTTTTTCCTGTCACCATAAAAGAGACCTCCCTCCTGGTGATTTAATCAGACCCATGTCCTTTCTGTAAATAATGTTTAATCATCTTAGTCAACCTCATTTTTTATAATGGGCCATTTCAATGGAGCTCAGAAAGATGTTAATCCACAATCACACACACACACAAAAGCATTGATCCTTAAGACCAGAAGATACTCGTATTCTTTTATTTACTCTGCTAGCCAGTCCCAGTGTCATGATGTCTCTGAAAACCGGGTTTGGATCTTTTATTTGCTATTTTCAAGATCAGATTAAAGGAGTGAGTCATGGAAGAGGTTGGGGATTTTTTCCAGAGCTCTCCCTTATTTCCAGCCAACTGTTGATCTGATGGGCTTGTACCTGCTGGCAATAGCCTGTGGTGGCACTTCATTGACTCCATAACGTACATTGAACAGTGGAGACCTACTAATTCCATGGTCAAGTGAGTTGGCAGAAGTTTCTCAAAGTTCTTTTACTGTATTAATAAGGAAAAACAATCATTAAAAAACTTAGAAACTCTTCTCAGCTCTTGCATTTCTCAGTAAAACCTTGGTGGTGTACTTTCCCTAAACAGCTGTGTGGTTTTGTATCACTTATCTTCACCTAAACGGAAAACCAAACCCAGCTAGAGATACTCATATTTAAAACCTTGTCCCTCTGCTCTTCTGGAATTTGCCTCTGTACACCCAAAGTGGCAATGCTGATCTGCGCTAACAAAAATCCTCAATCAGATGCTCTTCCTAGTCCTCCAGAAAAGCAGCCCATACCTTTTAATAAGGCTATTACATTGGCTTAGTTGTGGACAGATCTCTTTTTATTTTTGTTTACAAATTTTACATGCAGTAGTGTGGGGGAGTACAAATATAATTGATTTTTTAAAAGCTTGATCAATTTATATAAAACCTTAGTATTTTGAAACAAATAAAAGAAGAACCAGTTAATGTTCTTTTATGGCTCTAAAATGTATCAGGGGTGAAACTGCATTTGAATAATAATAATTTCCTCTCAAAATCCTATGATTAGGTTTTGGTCATACAGCCAAAGTGAGATTGTTATAACGTAGGCCATATGGCACAACACTATCTGGTTTCATCCACAGGGAGAAGAATAATCTTAGCTGTAACATAGCTATTCTAATAAAATGCATTTTTCTTTATGTGCTAATGTGAAATAGAAAGCTAAAATGAAAAAAAAAAACAACAACAAAACAAAATTTGAAAAGCCATGAAGATCAGAGGGGGCATAGAAGATATGTAAAGCTGATTTAAAATATTAGGAAGGATGCTGGAACAAAAATGTTCCACATGTTCATGGAAACCTTAACAACAAAATCTGGAGACAAAAGGGAGTAACTGTCTCTCAATGTTAGAAATGCAATTTGCAATTCAAAGTTTGGGGAGCTCCGTAAGAGATTTTCCCTTGCAAGAGGGTTTTTCTGCATTTGCCTTTTACCACAACATCCAGTGACATAATTTCCAGAGCAGACACAGACTAGAAGATGACTCTGATGGAAAATATGTATCAGGTAAATGTGAAATGTTCAGTAAGAAAAAAAATGTAATTCTCTGGAGGTTTTGTCTCTGACTAGAAGTCATCTGGTATGTGATCCCTCAGAGGTCTGTGCAAGAAGACCCAGACTGGGGTTGCAGAAATGGTAATGGTGCCTCAACCTTACAGGGACTCATCTGCATCCCTCTCCACCACTGACCTACCAAATATCCCTTTCTGGAAAATCAGGTCATCAAAACAGAGTAAAAGCTAAAAAGGGAAATGGAAAGAGTCAAGTTATTAACTTTATTTATATTCACAGCTTGAAATAATTGACATTTTTTAAAGCACATATCCCAACTCATATTTGGCTGCTTTTCATAGATCAATATGACTAAGGGAACACATTTCAGATCCTCTCAACATTGGCCCAGGTTTTACCACCCACTTCAAGAGACTGCAAAGCCAACCCTCACTCTGAAGCTCTAACACACCAACGCTGTCATCCATCCCACTTATTAGGTGAGTTACTGAACTCCCCAAACAAGCACTGGAACAGCCCTGGTCATTCAAGAGCACAGCTTTTTCTCTAGCTGCCTATAGCAAACCAGAAACAGGCTGGGAGGCCATAATGTGAAATATGTTCATCTGATTCATCTCAGTATGGAACAATGCTAGGGCTGCATGGTATGATGAATGTGACCTTCTGTCTTACATACCCTTGTATAACCACAAGTCTAAGAGAAACAGAGTGGTTAATGTATATAGTTCTTGCATCTTGCAAAGGAATGTTTTAGCAATTCGTGTCAATAGAGAGCTTGAAGGGCAATGTATTTGTAGGCTTTTCCTTGAAGTCTCTGATATCTGGGGGGTTTCAGAATAACAGCTAACTATTATGACTATTGCATGGGACGCTATGCAAGTCTCTGATATCTGGCCAGGAGATTAAGGAGACGGGGAGAGCTGAAGAACAACTAAAAGACAAAGCTTGCAGGGGACGCTGCACAAGTCTCTGACATACAGCCAAGTTGGACAAAGGAGAAGGACAAGAGGGAGGAGGACTATGAGCCTTCAGCACCAGAGACCCCCAGAGGGACCACCGGAGACTGATACGCATGCTCCAGTAGGAGGGTTTGGATTCCAGAAACTAATTATAACAATAACCCTGTTTTTTTTTCTAGAAGTAGTACTGAATATGTATTAGCCTAGGAGCATAAAAATCAGCTGCTTGATGTAACTGGTGTGCATCTTGGTGGAGCAGAGACTCCTGGCGCACCCAGCGCTATTTGCTTACCTCTGTTCCTTTAATAAATTGTAAACTTTGATTATAGTCCTCTTTTGAAGACTGAGCCATTTATTACAATAACATACATTGCATGTTGTCTTCCTTGGTACTTTGAGGTCTCGGAATATTTCCTTAGGGCTTGTATTTCTCTTTCAAATTCTGTGGTGGGATATGAACACATATTATATAGCCAAAACTCCTGTAAAATGAGTCTAAGAGATGGAAAGGAATGATCTTAACGTCAGGAATTGGTGGAGGAATGCAAGGTTGAAATAAGGACTCTGTGGCTCTCAGCTCTTCTCTGAAATTATTACATTAGACTTAAACTTAGAGAAAGTGTCCTCACTTAGTTAGGTCAAATACATGTGGACAAGGAATTGACCCCCACTGAAAATCTGGAATTTCCTCTTTTCACTGACAGTGTATCTTCCACTAAAGAGGGCTGCACAAATTGGGAAGCTTCTTGCTTTGTGCAGCTGTACCGTGCAGGCTTTTCCATTCCCAGATCCAAACCTGGTTTTCAGAGACATCATGACACTGGGACTGGCTATCAGCCAGAGGAGCGACTGGATGAAGAGAAGCAAGAGGCCCTTGTATCTTTTGCATG